CAGAAACAGGAGTTAGGAGGGGTAGAGGTAGACCTAGATTAGATTACTGTTCGCAAATAGTTAAGGATGTGGGCTGTTCTAGTTTTAGGGAAATGCGAAGTTTAGAACAGGATACTAAAGAGTGGAGGTACGTGTCCAACCAGTCTTAGGACTGACGACCCTACGATGATGATGATGATGATTAATAAGAATTGTTTCTAGATTCACCGTTGTTAAAGATGACATGAACTAACAAATATTGGAACGAAACTAGAGAAAATGAACCTAGAATAGTAGATTCAGAACATTATTTGTATAGCTTTTCTGTTTTTATTGAGGGTGTAGTTTGTAGGGTTTCAGTTGTTGGTGTTGATAACGGATTCTGGTTTCCGAGCTGGTTGATATTTCGACCCTGTAAACGTCTACAAAAGTAAATAGATAACGTTGATAATCCGTCCTGAAATCTATTGGGTGTAGCTGTAGAAATATGATACAGAAAAGGTAGCTAGGACGGCTTCAAGTATGACGTGATTTTTGTTTGCGTTTTTATGTTATCTAAAACATAATTCGTTCAAAAAAGGATTCTTGAGTTTGTGCAAACTGGTGAAATATCTGATTCTAATCAATTGTTCAAAAAAATGCGACTTTAATGAAAGTTTGACTTTTTAGAGGGAATTTTGAATTAGAGATGCCGACTGATACCCTTATTAGATCCTAATTTATTAAATGATCTAAAGATAGGTTCTAGTGGTAGCTTAGACCGGAATTTTAGACAACTGCGTCGCAGCTCTGGGGTGTATATACCTCAGATTATTAAGAATCACTTTTTTGTGCTTTGAGAGGTGTTCGGTATACAACAGAAAGTGTGAGAACAAAATTAAGAAAATATATTTGGTCATAAATCCAAAACTAGATTTGGTGTCATTATTTGTAGCGTTGTTAGGGTATATTTGGGGGGTGAGTGCTGGTGCTGCAGAGAAGTATTCCGCGTTTTGCGTCTTCTAGCAATAGTTCTCTTGATACTTAAGTCATTTTTGTATTTTTTTTTTAACAACAAATTTGATTTTACTATAAGCGAATGTTCTTCTTATTCTACCACATTCGACCCAATACATCTATATGTGTGGGGATGTAGCTCAGTGGTAGAGCGTTCGCTTTGCATGTGAAAGGCCCCGGGTTCGATCCCCGGCATCTCCAGCTATACTTTTTGTTTCTTATTTTCGATTAATTTCAGTTACAAACACATCAACATAACCTCCAAATAACTGGTGTAATAATTTATTATACCGATCAATCGTTGTTTTCTGTTATAAAAATTCGCGTAATGACCGAGTTGACGATTAAAAATTTTAAGGACGAATATCCTCGTTTAGTGAAAGCTGTTGAGGAGTGTCGATTTATTTCCATAGATACTGAATTTAGTGGCTTAAGTGTTTCAGATAAGTTACAGACAAGGTTGGTTTTTAAATTTATTCGTAATCGTCTCTTATATCTGGATAATATTGTTTTAGCTTATTTGATACCACTCCAGAGCGTTACGAGAAACTTCGGAAAAATTGCGAACAGTTGATTCCTGTTCAATTAGGGATCACATGCTTCACCTTTGACTCGGTAAATTGTTCGTACACTGCGGATATTTTCACAATTTTCTTATTTCCTCGAACCTTCTCCTTATACGACAAAAGATTCGTATGCCAGTCGTCCTCGTTACAATTTCTATGTGATAACAGTTTTGACTTCAACAAGGTATTTGAAATTATTGAATTAGCACTACTGGAGGTCATGCTACGCCATCTACATTTTCTTTTAGTTAATATACGAAGGTGTTCCCTATATAAATCGGACACAGGAACAAACTTTGGTGGAAGATTTGAAAAACAAAACATTTGCTCTCAATCCGTATCAAAGTTCGGAAATTGAGAATGTGTTAGACGAACAAGGACGAATTGTAGCCAGTTGGATATTTTCAGCTAAAGATGGAGATGTACAAGTCCTTCCCCAACTCCAGAAATACGTTTATAATCCAGACATTTTATACACTGCTCATAAACATTTGCGAGAACGATTTAAGGATAGTTTGTGGACGTTTGAGGATAAAGGACAATTTACAGTAAAGAAAGTTTCAAAAGAGGAACTGGCTCTGTTAATAAAAGAGAACGATTTAGATAAAAATATAATTTTGGACATTCTGGGTATTACGAGACTCTTCCGACTTTTAGTGACCCTTAAAAAGCCAATCGTTGGTCATAATTTGCTGACCGATTTAATGTTACTGATTCACAATTTGGAAAATCCACTTCCAACATCTTACGAAAAATTCAAACGTCTTGTGAACGAATTATTTCCCGCGGTTTATGACACTAAATGTTTGAGTTTTAGCATTTTAAAAAAACACATACCCAACAGCAAAAGATGGCAACAGAACACACTTTCTCATTTGTACAACTATTTCAAAGGGGGTGAAGGACGCCATTTGGCCGCCAATTCTCCCCTTATACAGCCAAGAGTGCCTTTAGAAAAATACGACCAGTTTCATAACGCGGGATGGGACTCTTATTGTACAGGGTACATTTTTATTAGAATGGGTCATATTTATGCCACCAACAAATTCAAACAGAGTAGAAAATACCTCAGCAACGAGCTTTTCTCTGCAGTTTCAGGCTTTAAAAATAAAGTTAATTTGATAAGGGCATCTTTAGCGCACATTGTAAGTAACGTACATATAATATTCTTTTGCATTAATAAAATAGTATGAAGCGAAAAAATCGGAACTTTTGTAGCAATTAGATGGCGAAGATCCGCCATCTTCCCGACCGCCATATTTGGTTGTTGAGTCATCGCGTAATAAACCGTTAAACATCTCTCAGGTCAGTTTTTGTCAAAATAAAGTTTTGTTAACCTCGTCGTCGGTTGGAATTGCTTCCTAACGTTTCGCTGAAACGAATGGCTAGTTTCTTCATAGGTCCTTCCATATCTCCGATGCTGGATGTGTCTAGGGTTGCCACCTTTTCAGGCTTTACATGAAGTATTTCTCCGCTAAAAGGTTAAAAAAAAGTACTCGGCATAAAAATAAAGTATTTAATTTTTTGTTTCTAAAAACATATTTTTTGTTATACCTAGCAGCCAGTAACAAATTGCTGTCGCTNATTTCTCAATTTGTATATCAGTTCGCAATAGTTAAGAATGTGAGATGGGAAATGTGAAGATTAGCTCAGGATAAGGAGTGAAGGTTCGTATCCAACCAGTCTTAAATAGTAAGGTTTGGATGGGTTAGTTAGTTAGCATCACAGTTACGTGAGCTTTCAGTAGTATCACACAAGTTATATCTACCCGAACAAGCACGAACTAGAAATGTCCTTTAGGTATTGAAAAGGATAACGGAATGACAAAGGTACTAGTTATAAGTTATTAAAAGAACGCACCACTAGAACTAGAACAAAATATGTTCACTTATTTATCCACCAAACTTACCCTTTAAATCACAAAGTATAACGAAAAAACAACAAACAACTTTCGTCTGGTCCCAGTTTTCTTCCTGTAATATCACTATTGTATTATCGGTACGTTCACAGTAAAATTACGTCGTGTTTACGTAGAATTCGGGTATTTTGACACTACTCGGGGCTGCAGCAAGTGGGCCCCATCGAACCAAAAGACAGACAGAACTCACGGACGCCCCACGTCGAATGTCCGGGTTTTTATAACTTCGGTAGCACCTGCAGGAGATGGCGGCCACTGGCACGCTGCCCGAGAGCCCCGGACACTTCGACGACGATACCAATGACGACAGGCTCCCACATGAGCCCTTCCACACGCGTGTGTCCTAAGACAAGTTAATTTTTTCATCTCTAGATTCAGCAAACGTAAAAATGGTCTGCATGTTACTTCTGACAAAGTTTAACGTTTATTTGTCATTTTGGCAGTTCAAACTATTATTTAGCGAAATGCATAATATTTACTCTACGGTGCATATTTTTCTGATGCAATATTATTTGGAACTTGGCGAAAAACTAGGTACTATCCAAAATTCCACAAACCCCATTTCCGAACATAGAACCAGTTTCTGCAACCAATATGACATTCTCTGGTAGAGTATGATGATAACTACCAGTTCACTGCAGTAGTTTGGGATTTTACGGGGTTTTCTGTTAGGAATTTATTTTCTGAACCCTGCAATGTATTTGTTGTCTTAGAATCTTCCTCCTTATTAAATTTTCTCTCAGTTGGAGATGTCATTGTAACGTGTTTTAGAGAATCCCCGTGGAAAAACATTGGTAAGACAATTCCAATCGAGCAACAGCCTAGGGGGGGTATTCTAAAGCCATGGGTATCAAAGCCCGATTAGTATGTTACGCACCAAGAGGGTGCCGTACTTTTTTCTGGAGACTCGTACCTATACAATTTTTATTCATGCCCGAAAGTACGATTTTTCTTCATCATCATAAGGTTGTCAGTCCTAAGACTGGTTGGACACGCATCTCCACTCTTTCCTATCCTGAGCTAATCTTCGGATTTCCCTTATATCTAGATACCCAAAATCAGCCACTTCTAATTTTTCGTCTCCTATCTTTATATTCGTTCTTTCCCTACTTTTCCTTCCCTTGCATACCAGTAATTTTGTTTTACTTTTATTTATTTTCATACAGTACTGTTCTGTCAATACTTTCCTAGGTACTGTTTATTGGTGAAGTTAGAAAAAGCAAGTAGCAAATAATAAACATGAGTAAAATTTCATTAACAATCAATTTTCCAGATTAATTTGGTATAAATATAGATTTTAACCATCTAAATCTAAATTTAACCATTAAATTTCTTTATCATTATCATATGTTAATACGTATTAGTATTGCGCGGTTGATATTCGACTTAGTACCAGGTTTAGGGGGTAGTTTGTCAATCCTTTGGTCCTGGGGGGAGGGGGTCATCAAATTTTTAGAAACCCTGTTTAGTCCGACTAATGTATTTTATCTAATGATAAGAATTCTACGATTGGATAATCTGTTCAGGGAAAAATATGTCTATACAAATTGTTTAAGTTAAATCAAAATAAGAAAATTTGTAGATTAGTTTTTTTTTAACAAGTTCACTTCATAATTGTTTTTAACAACCTGCTTCAAAAGACTTCACCTTTAGGATTTGAAAAATACAATTAGACCTCATTATATGATGTTAAACGTTACACAAAATTCAAATAGATTTTTCTCATGCTTGGTTTCGTCAGTTTCTATTTTCTAGTCTGCAATATGTCCCATACCGCATTCTTTTTGTTTAAATAACATCGCCATTATTTTTACGACTTCGACATTGGCATGACATAAAAAAGTTCGACGAACATTGGTGTTAAACCATATTATAAAAACTTTCCGAGCCGAAACCGCGTTCTGGAATAGCCTGTATTGAATGCCAATACAAATAATCATTTAACTCTTATTTTATACGTACAACTTAACGCTCCTTCTATTCATTTGACAAAATGCTCCTGCCTGATCTGAAAAACTCACATCCACACTTTAGTGAGATTTAAATGTTTAATCTGGACTTCTTTAAAATAGATACTTGGTTGAAAGACATTGTTTACACTGGGCCGTAAAAAATTGAACTGTATATTTTTTGCTGTTGTCTTATATTTGTTTTTCAACAGAATATTCACAAATATAAATGACAATATGCTGAAAAGGGTTGATTTAAAGTAGTGCGATCGAGCATTGAAGAGTAAAATCAACAACTATTTGAAAGTTCATAAAATAAACTAATTTATATTTAATTTAAATTCCTAAAATTCTGATAATATAAGTGTAATATAAGTTAAGGGTAGTTTTTGTGGGTACTAGACGTGCTAAAATATTATGGGATTATGACCGTGATCCTATTAATATTTTGTAGTCAAAAGGGTGAATTTATACTAACATACGGTCAGTTTTAGCTGATGGAATTTACGTACCAACAGCTAGAATGGTAGCTAGAGAGCTTTTTGATAATTTTAGTTATAAAAACGTTTTTTTTGTTAATCATTGGGTTATATAATTTTGGACACCGCAAATACCTACTGAAATGTGCGAAAACGTAATTTTGCTACAAAATCTGGAGAATCCCATGAATGAGACATTCCCAAATGAACCCGAAATAATCTAAATCCAAGCGTTCAAATGAAACATAATTGTAAGCATCAATTTTCAAAATATTGTAGCAAATCTGGTACACCACCATGGGCGTATGGTGTCATACCCTTTAACTCAAAGAACTCCTGGGAATATTAATTCGGCTAAACCACTTTAAAGGAACCGTTTATTTATTGATTAAGACGGACAAGTACGGGTAGGACCAGTAGGACCAATATGTAGATTCTACCATTTTCCGCCTGTGGTGCGTAATCTTCACTAATATTATAAATGCGAATGTGAATAATATGTTTGTTTGTTTGCTACCATTTCACTCTTTAAATACTCAAACGATCATTATGAAATTTTGTACACGCATTTTTAGGGGTACAGAAAAGGACATAAGGCTTTTTTCTGAAAAGAAAATACTGTACCCGAAGAAATGGGATATTAGCTTTATGTGGTCGTCGATTATCTTAATAAAAATCTTAATTTTGTGGTTGAGAATATTTTTCAAAAGAAATAGTCCCTTTCTAATTTTGATGCCATATTTTTGATGGTTTTTATCGTATTTGGCTTAGTTATTTCAATGAATAAGTACCGCCCGTACTTTAACTTTTTAAAATTCTTTTGAGGATAACAAAAAGTATTTAAAGTTCATGAGCGAATTTTTCAATTTCAAAGTTACCCCAGATAAGCGTAAGTCGGGTTAAATGTAAAATTAATGGATTAAGTAAAAAGGTGATCGAGTTTCAAAGGGAATGATTAATGGAATTCGTGGTTTGGATTTCAAAAGGTCTTAGATTCGGTTTTGTATATTTTCATCGTATCTTCATTTCTTCTTGTTTGAATTGGATTTCTTTTAAATTGCCTCGCATACGATTTACTAATATAGATCACCCGATTTTACGGCAATTAGTATACGTTCATAAACGTGTGTACTGTGTGGTATTATTAAAGGTGTGCAATGTTACATTTTAAATGTTGCAAGAAATGCTTTTAAGTGCTTTCTGTTAACATATCCTTTGAAGTTGACTGAACGACGTAAATAGAAATTTGACAGCTTTAGTTAATTCTAAACAGTAATAAAAGATGTAACAGATCTTCGATTGGTGAAAGCAGAACTATTCGGTGGAATAACTCGAAGATTAGATCAATTAAATTCATTAATTAACACCATTTTCATATCTTTAGGAGTTGTATTTTCAAAAGTCATTTTATAATTGATGATACAGTTGTATAATAAACGTTTGTGCAACGTATCAAGGTTCCTGACTATAAGTCATTTGAGTTATGCTTTAATTCGATACATGAAACTTTGAAACCCCTTGTTCGCAGCTTTAGGGGTTGAATTTTTAAAAAATCCTTTCGCAGTGTTTGGTTGCGTTGTATAAGAAACGTTTGTACAGAATTTGGAGTCTGTTGATCCACAGGGGTTTGGGAATTATTAAAACATGTTTCATCACAATAAAACGTTAATAATAATTTGGTAATAACTACCGTTAGGTGTCAATTGAATAATATTACGGGTAAAGGGCTAGATGATGGCCCCCACTTCGGGGGTTGGGGGTGGGTGGGATCGAAAGAGGAGGTCTCCCCTACTACTGTACCATAAAAAGTTCGTGGCGGTCGCACCCCCATAAAAAGTTATGGGAGTAGGGGGTAGGGGGGATCGAAAGAATGGGGGTTAAAAGTTGATTATTTTGACAATTTTTATACACTATAATTCAAATAAAATTCAATAAAATAATTATTTTCAAGCGGGTGGAGGTGGGGGATCGAAAGAGGGTGGTCACTTGAACAAAACCCGACAACTTTTAAAGATTATTGACAGG